CAGCTGTGGCGCCAAATGGCGCCAAATGGCGCCAAATGGCGCCAAACGACACTAGCATCAAAAATGAATGTCATATTGCGTAATCAGGGCATCGAATTACCCCAATAGACAAAGTTTCGACGAAAAATGAAACTTTGAGATTTTGGGGCAGTAATCGTGGGATAGTGATCCGGCAATAGGGGAAGGCTGAAAACGGTGAAAAACCAAAGTTTCAACTGGGGAAGTAATGCATATCATTCGATAGCATTTTTCGGGGAAGCTAACGGGGCACATTTCAGGTCTGCGAGTTCATCTGGAAATGCAAAAAATCTGAACATTCCACAAGGGCATGACGAGGAGGCATGTTTGGGGCCACACCACGGAAGGAACGCTTACTTGCGACCGAGTTTTCCACATAATTCCTTACAGACAAGTGACCGTAGTCTACGACAGTGAAGGAAATTGTTCGCTATCTTCACAGCTTTCTGCAAAACATGTCCTCTGAAAATGGAAAATGTCACATAATAGGCCCACTATGCCTGCTGAGAACTGTTCAAAGATTCCACTTGATATACAGAGGATGTGATATTGAGAGCAGAGGGAACACGTAAAGCTAGTAAGCGCTTGAAAACGAAATGAAGATCTAAGAATTCGGAAAATAACATTCATCTAATCTCACAATGTAGTGGATGAGATTGAGTACGTGGCGCATTCTGGGGTAAGTTTTGAGGCCCTTCTTTGTGTGTAGCGGTTAGCCCGCATAAGCGGGATTATATACACATCACATGCGAGCAACTACTTTTTGAGATAAATCGAGTGCATGGCGCATTCCGAAATCAAGCTTTCTGAAAATATTTTAGCACCATCTTGTAGCGCTTGAAGAGCTGAGTTCAACGGTGTTTTCCGTTTCTGGAATACTTCACTCTGAGCCGACTTATAACGAATTACGAAACTAACGAGGATTCGCGTTATTCGCGTAATTTCGATTTCAACGGCGGATTATGTACTTGGAATAAGTGTTTTGACTGGCATTTCACTGGCATTTTTGTGAACGATTTCAGGAAGCGTCAAAAGGAATTTTTTTGCTTGCTCTTGCGATGGTTCGGCAATTTTATTACTTGTAGAACCATATTGGTGTCATCCCGTCAGAATACGGCATCAAAATTAAGTCGACTTCCAGAAAAGTAATTGGTGATATATGATGTTTGATGGTATTTTTCCAAATCAAACTCAATGAAGCCAAAAGACAGCATTTCTTCAGACGTCATGCGGTAACTGATCAGGAAAAGCAAGGAATTCCTTTGCTGCCATTGTTCGCTATGTCGCCAGTTATAAGCAATAGCGAGTCACATCAAATGTGCCATCAAATAAACCCATTGTACCCAGATCTTTCAGTGATTTTTCTATCAATTCTTGTCGTCAGGGCTGAAATTATATCATTGGACAGGATGAGATAGAAAAGATGACGATAGTCTTACTGCCTCGCTGTCATCTGAGACAAAACCATCGCGCTTAGATAATTGATATTTCGCGCAGAACATCTGTAAATCTGCTGATGATTTTAGAGAGTTCTCCCAATGAACAAATCGTGCTCATGTAATCGACCTTCCAATAGACTTCGCTTTTTGGCAATATCTAAGCATTATTCTCGAGTCTCCAAGTAACCGGTAAAAATTATACCNANGTACTNGATATCCTTGAGGGTGATGAAACATACACATATGCTACTACTGTTCTAAATGCGAGCGAAGATCAACGGCTCGTGTATGTTGCCAAAGGGAATGGTACTTTTAATGTATATTTTGAATACAAAATGGCGACAAACAAGCTTCTTTCAACTAGAGAAGCGCACAAAAGGGGAGTGTGAGCCAGTCTTCAACATTTCTACAATGCTAGCCCCGCCTTTAGGGAGAGAGAGAGATTGGTGGTGGTGGTTAAGGTAAGACGCTATAACCCAAAACATCCTGACAATAATTGGCGGCTTTGATAAAAACTTAGAAGTAAACTGCTTGCATTATGGGAGTATGAGCCATAAGTTGCTACGTTCAAAAAAGTCGTGCAGTGGGTGCTGATCCTTCTTGGTATTATAACAGTTTTCGCCAGTAGATGTCATCCACATTCCTTCCGCATGCCTGGAATGCTGGCAGAAACTGATGGTCCTTCCTTCCATCGTTTCATACGACTTCCTTATGACGAAGTTGGTTTTCGTAGACAATTCCTTTGCGTGTTTCCAGTCCTAGAAATCAAGTTCATTGTAAACATATCAAAAGATTCCATTACAGAACCTGCTACCTACGCACCTCAAAAGCTTGCCAATTCTGCATTTGACCGCTTACCAGCTATAATCTTGTCCAGGAATCTCATTTTCTTATTCTACAATAGGTCCCCCTGCAAGCGAAAGGATGGGAAGCAAAGGACGACGTTCACGAATAGAATGAAGCCGAGAGAAAGCAGGAATTACATTATTTGCAGAGACCCGCGGACCTTTGAGAGTGCGGGCCGAGCGCAATTGCATCGAAAGAATTGATCTTGGCGACCTAATAAGGCTCAATCTTGGCGCGATGGGCCAGTGCACGCCCACCAACCAGCTGATCACTCGCCGCAGGTCTACACGTGGCGATTGATTAGATAGCAGAGAGAGCGTAGTGTTGAAGAGGGCACAGAGTCGCATCAATGCTCAAATCAACGGGCAAGGAAGGGGTCCCATTTCTCGGGTTCTGGGCCGTTTCTCATGGTTCTTCCTTCTTTCGTGTACCACTCACCATCCCTAGGTTAATTTGAAATGGGTTGCTTTTCATCGTGAATTCGTCCTTTAAACTCTTTCCAGATATAAGGCAAACAACGCGCTCTCTTTGGACTTCTATGCCATGCACCTTCTGAATCATAAATTTTACAAGACCATTGAAGCATTTTTTTGTATATCAACGCAAATGAGCAACAAATCATCTCACCTGCTTATAAGCAAAAAATTCTCCTTTGGAGAAAAATGTCCGCATTCTCGAGGGAGTTTGCTTTCTTCATCACTCTTACTCTCTTACACGACGCTTTTAATTGAATGGCATTTTTCTCCTCGTAGTGATGGATGTCTCTGACGTAAATTTCTCGCAACCATTTGCCCCGCACAACACTCAGGACGTTTTCCTTTTCCTGCACTGGAAGATTGTGCGCTGACTTATGGTCGGTACAGAATACCAAGCACAATGTACCAAATATCCTGGTATTCAGAACATCCTCAGTTTTACTTCTCTATGCATCCTCCATAGGGGAGATACAGCAGATCATGTGGGCCCAAAATTCGAGCTAATCCATGTCAAAAACGAAAGGGGCTTCACAACAGAATAGAGCAGAAAATACTTCATGATGCCACATAATACCGCAATGCAGAAACATTGTGGAGTTTTAGAAAAAATGGCTTCGAAAAATCGCTACGTCTAACGACCAACCAGAGAAAACAAAATCTGAAAAAAAATTCGAACGATCTTTGAAACCAATAAGCGGTGGTGTGCTAACAAAAGTTCATGGTCAAGCACAGGATATCATAGTGACAGAGTTTTTGAAAACCAACAACTATGCTGAAAGGGTTGCAACTCAAAGCAGAAACTGTTGAAGCATTCAACCCAAACCTTTGCTGATGGCCTCCAATCTACGTGCGTGTTCTGGGAGTTGTTTTATTTGGGTTTCTACCTACATTTATGATCAAATAAGTGAGTGAATTCCTAAACTTAGAATCTGAAAACGAAAGGAGACCAGATCTGTTGTTAGCAAAATTGTACAGGTACAAAGATAAACAAGACCGTACGCGACATATTTCGAAGGACTAAGATGTCGGTCAGACTCGGCAATTGCAACGCGACAGCGAGCGATTGCAAAGCGCGATTGCAATGCTCGCATTGTGAAGCAGGGCCAATCAGCCGCCGCTCCCTACTCGCGCTGCGGTGATCGCGCAGCAGACATCGCGTTCGTCGCTTGTGCACTTTGCAAGCTATTGCGCAATCGCGTGCCAATTGCTCTATTTAGAGCGATTGTAACGCGATGGACAAGCGAGGGGAGCGTGCAACAGAATCGTCCGGAGAGTGACGCCGTCGCGCGCGGTCACTTGCGCGGCGTCGTAACGCGTAACGGCAGTTTTTCGATGGTGCGCGCCCTTATTCGAATTTGACGATAGGAGCAAAGTTCTTCATGATTATTTCATTCACATGATTTCCCAAGATTATTCTCGTAGAAAGCGCATCTTTTCGTATCTGATGAGGTGTCGTTCACACCTCATTAAGGTCGCCTCCTTTTACTGTGCGACCCATTAGGTATTAAAATGAAGAAATTGTAATGCTACGCATAAATCTGTCACTGTGTTGTAAGGTTATTTAATTATTTATCAGTTGCCGTGCTTTGCGATATTAGGTACACTCAAATCGGATTGCATGATTATATTATTTGTACAAAATGTTGTAAAAAATGGAAAGGATATGTCACATTGAATTAAAGTACGCATTTCAAAATGACGCCAAAATCGCCGAGAACTACAGTTGTCAACTCTGAGAAACACGTACAAATATTTTTTCAACCGCTATGCACAGATGATCTGGTTTCGCAATAAGACTTTTCGATCTCTCTGATATACCAGTGTGCTCAGGCTCGGAGCCATCTGGCGCGTCCTCAGGTTGTGGATAGAGGAACGGCCGTCCCCGTGGCGGTTAGCTGCGAATATATCGAATAAGCAGCCGCGAACAATCGAGCCAAAAACGCAGCTATAGGACAAGAGGGCTGCCAACCCGAATGGACTGCTGCAAAAGAAAAATCGGCAAAAACTTTGAAAATAGAATGATCTGGACCCGAGATGGGCGTGCGAAGGACCCCCGACTTTGCACAACAAGCCCACACCTCGGTGTAAGGCAGGGGCGGAAAAAGGACTACGGACGCATCAAAATGCACATCGCTTCCCACAACGTCAGGACATTATCGACCAGACTCTCTCCTGGATGTATATCTACAACAACTGGAAAAGATCAAAGCCGACATTATCGGTGTATGCGAAACTAGGAGAGCACGCGCTGTCTCAGCGAGGTGGACAAGCGGTGAAGAAATTCTGCTGGGAGAAGGAGCCAACAATGTGCCCAGAACAGGTGGAGTCGGTTTCATCATAAAAGCGAAAAGGTCGCAGGTTCTGTAATGGACATCTTTTGATAGGTTTACAATGAACTTGATTTCTAGGACTGGAAACACGCAAAGGAATTGTCTACGAAAACCAACTTCGTCATAAGGAAGTCGTATGAAACGATGGAGGGAAGGACCATCAGTTTCTGCCAGCATTCCAGGGGCACCGGAAAGGAAGTGGATGTCTAATCTCTGCGAAAACGTTATCGAATACCAAGAAGGATCAGCACCCACTGCACGACTTTTTTGAACGTAGCAACTTATGGCTCATACTCCCATAATGCAAGCAGTTTACTTCTAAGTTATCAAGCTGTCCATTATTGTGGATGTTTTTGGGTTATATCAGTCTTACCTTAACCACCACCACCAATCTCTCTCTCTCCCTAAAGGCGAGGCTAGCATTGTAGAAATGTTGAAGACTGGCTCACACTCCTCTGTTGTGCGCTTCTCTAGTTGAAAGAAGCTTGTTTGTCGCTATATTGTATTCAAAAGATACATTAATAAGTACCATTCCTTTGGAGATCCTAACGAAGACGTTGGGATCCTCGCTCGATTTCGACACGTAGTAGCATATGTGTATGTTTCATCACCCTCAAGGATATCGAGTACGTTGGTATAATTTTTACCGGTTACTTGGAGACTCGAGAATAATGCTTAGATATATTGCCAAAAAGCGGAAGTCTATTGGAAGGTCGATTACATGAGCACGATTTGTTCCATTGGGAGAACTTCTAAGATCATCAGCAGATGTAGCAGATGTCTGCGAAAAATCATTGATCTTACAGGCGATGGTTTTGTCTCAGATGACAGCGAGGCAGTAAGACTATCGTCATCTTTTCTATCTCATCCCGTCCAATGATATAATTTCAGCCCTGACGACAAGAATTGATAGAAAAATCACTGAAAGATCTGGGTACAATGGGTTTATTTGATGGCACATTTGATGTGACTCGCTATTGCTTCCAACTGGCGACATAGCGAACAATGGCAGCAAAGGAATTCCTTGCTTTTCCTGATCAGTTACCGCATGACGTCTGAAGAAATGCTGTCTTTTGGCTTCATTGAGTTTGATTTGGAAAAATACCGTCAAACATCATATATCACCAATTACTTTTCTGGAAGTCGACTTGACATTTTGATGCCGGTATATGACGGATGACACCAATGTGTTCTACAACGTATAAAATGCGACTTTCCCGCAAGGCAGAGCACAAAAATTCCTTTTAACGCTTCTGAAAGTTTCACAAAAATCCGAGTGAAATCCAGTCAACACTTATTCCAAGTAACGTTTCTCGATATACTGGTGATCGGGAGCTTTGAAGTTACTGCTCAGATGCGGCGACGCAAGATTGGGGCAAGTACTGTTACGCGATTTATTTCATGAAGCGACACCTGCTGGTTTCGAACAACAATACGCTGCTTTCATTACTTGGCTCTGTTCAGAAAGGAGCTGTACACGTGTGTCCTAGGGTAGATGGTATACAAAAGAGCGCAGATACCTTGAAGCTGTGTTGCAGTAGATGGAAAGGTTTTACTCGAGTCGTAAAACAGAGCGGGCGTCATGCCACGGAAGGATTGCTCCGTTTGCTATACTCCGTCGCCACCGTTCATCATGCGGAACCATGGCGTCCCATGCTACGATCTGAAGCTTATTTCGCAGATGCGCTTCCCCACCGTCGTCGTTTTATATGGAATCATATTGTAAGCCATGAGATGCTCAACCGATGGTAAAGATCGTCGCATGTAAAAAATAAAAAGACACAGAGATGCCATCAACCATTACGCGGAAAGGCACCTGAGGGTTCCATTGCCAGCCTTTCAGCACTTTCTTAGAATGAAGCGGATCAATCATTTCAAGGATTTCATAGTCCGACTCAGGGAAAATGAGTGGGGAAGTCCTCAAATCTCACGAGCGCTGGTGTTCGTAGAGCAGCTTTGCATATGTAACAGTATGGGTCCTACTTCAGCACTTATCTTATAAATTCACTCAATATCTTCCAGATATTGTCTGATGGAGTGCTGGATAACTCTCATTGTGAGCGATGCGGACCTTGCTTTTTCAAGTGTTATGTGATTTCCCTAATTTACTAAGCAGGAGCTTCTTGCATACATTGCCACGCTGTCACGATACATGAACCTGAAGGTGACCGACGGTCAATTTTATTAGGAACTTTCAAAACGTGCATTACTTTACTGTGCTCGATAATTTCTGT